GGGGGGGGGGGGGGGGGGGGGGGGGGGGGGGGGGGGGGGGGGGGGGGGGGGGGGGGGGGGGGGGGGGGGGGGGGGGGGTCGTGGAATCAGAGACGACGGAAGCCCAAGGAAAAAGCGGCTCCGAAGGAGCAGTGGTCGTCTGAAGTGTGTGTGGCTGCCAGCACGTCGAAACAACGGGGTTCCACCAAATCGCACACACTAGCCCTCATGCCGATTCCGAGTGACTTCGTTCGGCAACAAGATGTCATCCGAGTAGAGTTGGGCGCTGAACGGCCGCACACCCGTTGGGCACAGCGCGCACCTCCTTGCCTGCTCATTTCACTCCCCGCTCCACTCCAGCAGGATAGAGTGCCGTGGGCAGCTTGGGGGAATCAACAAAGAAACACGAAGCACTATCCAGACTTCGTCGAATATGGAACCAGGAAACTGACGCTCTGCCTACGCTGTGAAGCCTGATTGATACTGCTCCCACCGAAATCCCAAGGCGATGCAGCAGACAATCAAGTGTTTCCCCCGTTCACCTTTGTGAAGCGTACATAACCCGGGCCGGCGAAAACACTGCATATCGCTCCGTACCCAACATCGTAGGGATGCGGGGTCAACCGTCTATGGCATGCGTGTACATGAGTGCCCCCCCCCTCCCCAGCGTCGACCCCTTGCCTCCGAACTACTCACATATGCGGACAACGCGATCAGCGCCACGCTGTTCATGAGGCCGCCGATAACCTCTGATCGCTTGTATCCGAAGGGCAGCCGGTCCGTACCCCCGTTCTCGTTCTCCGGACACGGCCTCCGCTGCAGGCGGTGGATGTACATGGCCATGCCGATGGCCGCACTGGCGCGTGCGAAGGAGGGGGCATCGGGAGAGGCCGCGTGGCATGATGAAAGTCAGAGACCGCGTTTTTTTTTCCATGAGCACCAACCCGCCCGCGGCGGCCGTGATGGACGGCGCGGGTTGGTGGGGGTGGTGGCAAGCAGGATGGGAGTTGTTACGCAGGTTGATGCGGAGGTTGGACTCCTGCTGTCCTGCCTGTGGCTCCGCGACGTCAATCGCTGCCTGTGTTACCCGTGTGTCGACGGTCGACAGGCACACGGGCGGCGATTGCACCCCTACAACACTTCCCTCTCTCCCTTTTTCAACATAACCCCGCAGAAAGCACCACAAGTACCTTCCAGCAGTTTCGTGAGACCCCGCAGGGGTGGTAGTTTCGGACCAATTTTACGCCGAGTATTCTTACGATCACAACGCGCCAGAGCTGACGCGCCCAGAGGACTTACGGAACCTTGACCTTGTCATCGAAGCGGCCAAGGGACCCCCTAGACTCCGAAACCTCTTGTGCTGCCCTCCGATCATTCCTCGTTGTCCATATATTTGATCCATCGCGGGAACATCGTGCGTGTATTTTTCGTGCTTTTCAGCACAATTTCAGAGGCGTAGCAGCAAGGTTTATCCCCTACGGGGATAGGGGAGGTTGCGACACCGCCCGTACGTTTAACTATTTACTATTTACGATAAATCCAACCAAAATCTTGCAAACAGCAGTTCATGACGAGAATCGCGATTTTTCTCGCCGACAAAAAGAACAAATAAACCTCCGCTTCGATCAAACAATCTGCCGGACACAGAGCTTTCTCACGATACAAAGGGTGCACTATGTTACACTTGATATCCCTCGGGCCCTGCGTGGTACGTCATCATTCGGCAATCATTCCCGAAGTGCAACGAGCGGTTCTGGTGATTAGGTGGCAACATGGCAACATTCAGCCCGGCCGTAATTTGCAGTTAATTTGTAGTCCTTCCCCGGTAGATATCAAGGCGACCATGCCAAAATCAATCACATGGTATACATACAATACCCGGCGGGATAGGCCGATACACGGCCAACGCGTCAAAGCGTACCATCGGGCCTCCGAAAAGACCGCAGCCGTTGCATGATTAACATGTGAACGTGTGTGATCAGATTCGGGTCCGTTCGTGTTTCTGCTATGCACAAGTCGGTGATTCTACTCCATGAAATCACACAGAGATGTTCGATGATATCAGGCGACTTGAAAAAGTTCCTACTACAATACAATGCACACGCTAGCATTTTTCAATCGTGTGTGGCAATGCTGCCGTCGCCATGCGCACGCAGCACTTGATTCGCCTATCCAGCGTTCGTCATCTGTCTGCCAATGGCCAATAGGCCTCAGGTCCGCGGCAAGTACGTACATACATGACGCATACGCCTCTGCCTTGGCTATGTAATGCGCCTCTCTCTGCATTGGTTTTACAGCAGTAATATCTTACGCGTGTACTACTAATGCGTATCCAATCCACCGGCTGAAAGACGCGGTCGAGATATGATGACACCATTGACCAGGGCGAGGTGTCGTCTATGGCACGGAGTCGACGGTCAGCAGATGCGAGCGCTCTCTGCTCCGCACCGAATCGTTGCAAAGCAAGCTCTGCGGTGCTGCCTGCAACGAATGTTGAACTTCGTATCGATCTGGTGTTGCATGCATGTGTGCTAAATACTTTGTGCTATAAGAAAGAAGGCTGACACCTCGTCAACAAAAGACGACGCCCAGGACAAGTTGTAGACCTACCTGGATACCAAACTGCTGTGTAGATAACTCGTAGGAGTACAAGTAAAAATGAAAAGCCTCGAGTTCGAGTCGGCAGCGGCCTGTACGCACACATAGTCGTCAATGATGCGTTTGTTTAACTATGTGTACCACACTTACACGTCAGAAAGATTGTGAAAGCCGTCGGACATGAGCGCCAGTGAGCCGAACGCCATGGCCCCGGCCAGCTGGAGCACCACGTAGCCCAGGTTGAGCAGGCCGAAAATCGCCAACCTCCTCGACATCTTGTCCTCAGGTTCCGTCGCGTCTGCTGAATCGCCACCCTCCCCCCCCCCCCCCCCCC